TGTCTGTGTTTTCAAGATTCCTTGCTACATGTCATACCAGTAAAGCCCAAATGCCTTCAAGCAGAAGAATCTGTATCAATAGGTTGCAATGCCATTTCCCATGACAGCTGGAATGAGCAGCACAATCTCTATAGCACACTTTCAGTGAACACCTTTGTCTGCAGCAGCTGGATGTAGGACACGTTTTGGCATTTCTTCCTTCCTAATTCAAGATTTCACCGTGACTTTGGCTACCTCACCCATTACTGTAATATGTAAAGACTTATCTGGGTCAGGAAACTAAACCTGCTGTAGTGCAGTTTTGATCTCAGCTGGAGCTGACATTTCTCTAGGGTACCCAGGGTAAGGCAGAAGGATCAGCTGGAAGTCACTTTTGTTTTCTAGACATACCAGGAAATTTCAGTCTGTGTGAATGGCAAAGTCAGCCAAACTATGGAGAGTTAGTAAACTGCTCTCTAAAAACCTACTGCTTGTAGAACCTCCACCAGCTTGGTCTGTTTGCTGGATGCCGACTCAATTCAGAGCTCAGCAAAGTCTCTTTTTTTGGACTTCCCATGCAGATGAGAGCACAGAGGCCTGGCATATCCACTGCTGGAGCTGGCTGTGTTCAGTGGTGGGCATGGGGGACACCAAGGGACTGCAGAGCAGTGCAGAGGCTGCTCCAACAACCCTGCTCCTGCGCCCAAAATCCCACCGCCAAACTGCTAGCCAAGCATAAAAGGTGACAACTACACCGCTGGCTTTGGGTAAAACTTTGAAGCTTAGAGGCTGAAGAACAAAGTGCTTGTTAGTGGAGAAAATGCCATATTTGTAGAGTTAGGCTCTTTTTGATGGTCTAATGCTGATCTAATTTTTAATGTGGCAGCACTAGCATGCACAGAGGGGTTTGCTATTTTTCTGCAAAGTAGTCAGGTACTGGTGTCCAGACCTGTTTTAGAGTTCTAACCAGAGGATTTGGGGGCTGAGAGAGCAAGGAAAGAGAATAGAAGGGTCTGGCCCTAGAAATAACACTTAACGGGGCAATAGAGACTGCAAATAAACATATTTGTGAAGTACTCTGTTTAAAAACAGAAGATGTTTCCCCCTTTCTCTTGTGATAGTGCTTTTGGGGTGAGTTCTTGAATGTGATAGAAGTAATGCCCCCAAGCTCAATCATTTGAATGTTAAATCACTTAGTGCTACACTGCTTGAGTATTTCTGCTACAAAAAAAGGCCTGTCAGATGTCCACGTTGCTTGCTTTTTTTGCCCTTGCCAGGGATTAAAGCTGTGCATCCACCGCAATCACCAGAGAAGGTTTCATGTTAGCTGAGGCATTTCTACTGCACTGACTGCAGGTGCAGGGCTCAGAGTGAAAAAGAAACAATCATTCTGCTACTTTGGTGTGGGTCTAGAAACTGGCAATCACAGCTTCCTGACAGGCACATACATTCCAGCACACACAATTCATCTGAATGCTGGCACATGAGCTGTAAGCAGCTGCACCCTACCCAAGAAGGAGAAGACACAGTCCAAGATCTGCCTGTGCCCACCAGCTTGGTTTGAGAGCCCTCTCATTGCCTTAGCTGGGGCTGCAGAATGTTCCTCGGTCTCGGTGCTCCCTCTGCTACTAGGATGCTGCCTGCATCATGACTAAGGGCCAATCAAAGGATGCCTTTAACTGGGGTCAGGAAAGCCCCAAAGGGGAAAAAAAATCCTCTAAAGATATAGCAACAAAACAGGGACTTTCTGATCTTGTTTGCTTAGACCCTTATGAGTATAGTGCTGCTACAGGAGCTGATCCAATCCAAATTAAATATTAGAGGCTCCCATTTAGCAGAAATAACAACTATCTGTGTGTTGAGATTGGGAACATGATAACTGACAAACAGTTGCCTTAGATTTTGATGAGAGCTAGCTGTAAATTTTGCAGCTGAATAATTTTATGAGAAAATTCTGGTTAGAAATCTGGGCATTTTCTGGGAAAATAATCTATTTTCTCAAAAAAAAAAAGAGAAATTATCTGAGCATTCTTTTTTGTTAAGTCAAGTTCACTTTTGGTTTGGACTTTTCTGCTATTGTTATGTTATATTTATCATTTTTTTATATATATGTTTATATTAGGAAAACAGAATATATCAAATTAAAAAGCAAATTTAAAAATTAGCAAATTAAAAAAAAAGAAGAGTTATCTCAGACTGGCCTATTTAACATAACACACCAGCATCCTGCCTGCCATCCATCCTTTGGAACAAAGAGTCATTTCGAAACCTCAGCCTGAATTACAAGACACAAATAAGATTTTTCACAGTTTGAGAAAATACACACTTGTGTAGCTCCTACCAAACACGACAAGCGTGTTACTGCCCTGTCCTGGAGACCACTTCAGGCATCCTGTGAAGTCTTTGCATCCTGTCACCCACTTTAATACCAAGAGAGGATTCAGGAGTGAACGTGGCAAGGTTTTTTGTCCAGTGCATGGGTAGGTGTGGTGAGTAAGGAGGAAATTATGGTGCTGTGGGTCAATCAGGGAAGCAGGAATACACAAAGAGGAGGCTGTTTAGAAATGAGGATAGGGCTGGGAAGTGGGATAGGGCATGGAAAAAAGAAAGACTACGGAGCAAATTATTTCAACAAAATGCTAGAGAAGTGCCAGGTCTGTAGTGAGAAGAAAGCTTTGAGAGGCTCAAAGCTTGTGAAAAGTGCTTTGATATGCACAAGGGGAAGAGCCTGTTGTTCCTGCAGGTCAGAACCATGATAAAAAGATTGTGGAAGGGGTCGTGGGTGGGCCAAGTGGATCTGAGGAGGGAAAACTGGCTCTGAAGACAGGAAACCTCACACCCATGTGTCAAAGTGTCCAAACTTGGAAAACATTTTCTCGGAGTATGAAAAACGTTCAGTTATTTGAATTTGGGGGGGGGGGGGGGGCACCACATTTCGCGTGGCTGGAATTTTGGGGGGGGGGGGGTACCTCACTTGCAGTGCATGGGTAAACCTCTGTCTGTGCCCTCTGTGCCATCTTTTTCTGTCAAGGTTACAGTCCACTGCTTGGTGGTTTTCCCCCAAATTCCCCAGGGAACAGGATGCCAGCTCCTTGATCAATGCACATAGGCACTGATAGAATATGTTTTCTTTTCATTCCTGCCTGTCCCTCTGGCTCTATTATTAAGGCTTTATGAGTAAGAATGAAGCCTCTGACTCCCTCGGATGACCAAGGCTGATAAGCTGCTGTGTTCACTTTGGCACTGTGCAGCAAGACTGTATTTTTTGATATTTCAAAGCACTTCTGTAAATCAACTGTAGCTTTACAAAATCTCCCCTTTCTGTTTCCTGCCCCACTCCCTGCATCAAACACTGATGCACTTCTTAGCCTGGAAGTATCAGCTTCCCCATTATCCATAGCATTTTTAAGGATAAGTATAGGCAAATAGAACTAAAAAAGATAAAAAGAGGGAGAGAAAAGGAGACTTTTCTTACGCTCTTTGTTAGGATGTGCTGCGCGCATTTGCCTCGTCTTCGGGCAGGACTACATGCTGTGGAAAGAACAGAAACATGGTCAGGGTGCAGTGGTGGTGGACAAGATGAGGTTACACATGCCTCTAAAAGTCCTCCCTGAGAATATATTGGTGGCATGGTGGGGAGGAGGTGGAGAAGAATGCATTTAAGGAGGATTACAGCTGAAATAACCCAAAAGAAACTCCTCCTCAACATCATCTCAGAGACCACGCTCTAGCTATGCAATACAGATGCCCATGGGCACAGTGCCACAGCCTCCCCCACGTGTCTGCACCCACCCCACAGGCTCCCAGGAGTAATCGACCTCCTCCTTCCTGCGTTTTGGTCTGGCCTCCCTCCCACCTGCCAGTGTTTCAGAAGGGAATGAGCTTCTCTTTCCACCCAGCCATCTCCAAACACAACTATTGCATCCTTTAACTCTGGAGGGGCTGTCATTCCATGTGGATAGGGACTTTTTCAATAAGGTCAGAGACATTTGTGATACCATTTCACTCTTACTGCATGGTGTCCAGATCCCAACATTTGCACTAAGCCTAGTCTTTTCACTCTCAGAGCTACCTTTTTGGTTCTTTAACTTTAAGCATTTTGCTTAAAGCCTGTTTCTTGGTTTTCTTAGGCCCATGAAGACACTAAAATGACAGGCAAAACAGAGTCACTAGCCACGGGGCACATGAGATGCCAGGTCCACAAGCCAAGCTTTTGACTGGACTGAAGCGATTGGTTTTGGGTGAGGGCTTTTTTTGGACAAAGATTGTTTAAGTACTTGTTTCAGTTTGACTTGAACCTAGCTTGAAAGACTCTGTGATACTCCCAGCTCTTCCTCTCATCATATCTTACCCTTTACTTTTTAAAATTATTACCCTCATCTGTGTTCAGGCTACAGGATTTAGCAGCCAGTGACAGAAACAGACCTATAAAAACTGCCAAATTTGGAGAATTAACTCCAGTCCTAAAGGCTGACCCTGAGGGTAAGGCATGAGAATAGGGGTTTCCTCCTCAGGCTCTGTGTATAATCCAAGGAGCCAGCCAGGTTTGTTACAGGATGACAGGTGACCTCACTCTCCAGGTGAGCTTTCCTTCACATTTTTGGCACACACTCAGCTCCAGGAGTTGCAGTGCTTATTGCTGCTATGTGTTAATGTTTGCAAAGAGTTTTGAAGCTGTGGAATCAGAATCAGCTGGCGGTCCTCCAAGGCTGCTCATTGCTGCAGCCAAACTCCTCTCCTTGATGGCAGGAATAAGAAGTGACCAGGCTTTCCAGGGCTCCTGTGCAAGCAGAGCTGGCAGTGGGACCAAAGTCACTCTTCCTAGGCAGCTTGTTTGCCTAAAAGCCATCCTCAATACCCCAGGGAGGATGTAAGTGCTGAGCATCAGGACCCCACCAGACAGAAACAAAAGTTTGGGCCTATGCTCAGCCCAGGACAGTTACATGGGAGGTGGTCACAGCCTGTTCCAGGGTCCACACTGAGCTCACCACAGGTAACCTATCTGCCTGGCTGGAGCTGGGGAGCATGCTAGGCTGTCACTCTGATTACTGTCTGTTTTACACTGTATGACATCCCCAGGGTTCCCTGCTGCCTCCTCCTGCCAGACACGCTTTATATTTTAAACCAGCATGAGTGGGGGCTGAAAAACAGAGAAACATAAAAGTGCTTTTTTTTTCCCAGGAATATGTTGTAACTTGTCTTTTGTTGCTGCTGCAATCAACTTCTAGAATTTCATTGTGTGAGGACTAAACTAACTGCTCACAAACAAAACAAGTGCAGAGAAGTTTAATGATGCAAAGAATTATCTTCTTATTGCTCTGGTATTTCATGTCTTTTCCTGGACATTGTGAGGAGCAGAGTTTACACAGATCTCTACCAGAAGCAAGTACTGATGTGCTGTCGGTGGTGCACAGGGAATGACACATAAGTATGCCACATGGTAATAAATTTGCCATTTTCAGAGTATGTATGAGCCCCAGTGCAGCTCACTGCCCTGCCAGTGCGAGAGGCAAATGGCTAATGCCATCTGCAGGGAGTGGGAGCACGAGGGAAAGAACGAATCCTTGCAGAAGATGTTTCTGGATTTGCCTGCAGAAGGATGTTTGTGAGCACAGCCCAGCTTTTGGGCAACAAAATCAATCGTGGTGATGGTTCACTTTGTCATTTCCACTTACATTCTGAAATTAAGCAGCTGAGAGCTCGTGCTCGCAGCTTGCAAACAAAGATCTCATCTGGCCCCACAATTTGTTTTCCCTGCTTTTACCTGCTTTCTTGTTGCTGAAATATGAAGCCATTGAGTTTAAACTAATTTGTTCAATCACATGCAGACTGGGCTTTGTCCGGTTCTTACTCTTCATTACAAGCAATTAATGTTAATCACGCATTCATTTCCAGGGCATGGCTTTGGAAATGTTCCACTCATTGAGCCAGCAGACTTAAACTCAACATTCACCCAGCTCACCCGGTTCATCTGAGCTGCTAAGTGCTCGCAGAACTTCATTTTCTACGGCAGAATAGCCACACAGTTGCAAGCTGTCACCTCGGCAATTACCTCATAGCTGTATCAACACCCATCCCACGGCTCCCAATTTTGCCAGTGCAAAAATCTCCCCCAGCCCCAGTGCTGCGGCACCTGCAGGGATCAGCTCCAGAGACGGCGCTGAGCCGCAGCCCGGGCGGCGGGGCAGGAGCTGCCGCTCCACGGGGTCCCTCGTGCCAGCCTCCCCCTCCAGCCCCAGGACAGCACCCTACAGGTGCACTCACCTCGGGATGAAATCACCGTGGTGAAGACTTCTAAATTTTCGTCGCTGCAGCTGTAAATCTGGTGCATTTTCCACCTCTCCCTCCTGAGTGCCTTTCAGCTTCATGCAACCGCTCTGAACTCCTGGTAAATACGTTTCACTAATCCAATCTGGCTCTGTGATCATTGTCCAGATCTACAAAGGACAGACTGATGCTGTGATCTCATCTCATTCCATATTCTTCATTGCAACATTTTCTGCTCCCATCTGCCTTTCTATGAATACTATTAATGCAAAGACTTAATTTAGCCTCCACTCAGATAGGAACATTACATTTTACATTTTACCAGTTTGGAGAATCCTCTGCAATAAATGGCAAATAATTAAAGTCTGTTCTGTTTAGACAATGTATAGGGAAATAAATACAGAAGCACTGCAAGGATTTTTAAAACAAGTTGGGTCAATACTTTGTGTACTTTAACACATGTATCATAAAAATTTGCTCCTCCCATATAATGAGGAGCTGACTCTAGGTGCATTAAGAAAATGATTTTGTGCTTTACCTTTTTAAGTTCATAGACTAGCACTTGGATCCTGGGCACTTGAGTGTGAATTTCAAGCACAGATGATTAAAGAAGGGCATGGGAGGCAGACACACACAGGTCTCCGTGCCCCCTACACTTCAGCGGTTGCCAAGGGAGGGCAGGTGGTTCAGTCAGAGACAGCTTCCTATGTGACTTGATGGTTCTGGGGTCTAGTTCCATATTTACACACTTCAATAAAGGGTCTTCTTGCCAAAGCTTTTAATTCCTTAATGCTCCCATCAGAAATTGCTCCTGTCCATGAAAATCAGCCCCCTCAACTTTTGGTAACTTACTGCTGCCACAGATAGATAGAAAATTTTGGCTTGCAGGGTCCAGCGACTGATGTAGGAGAAAAACTTTCAAGTGTGAATAGTTAGATTAGATTATATCAGTCTAATGAATAGCCTTCATTACTAGCATGTGTGTAATTAACAAAAAAAGTGCTAGCTTCTCCTCCTATAAGCGTCTGCCAGAAGGAGTCCCAGAGAGAAAGTGCCAGTAAACATGGGCTGTCCCTGTCATATTCATGTTAACGTTTCTCTTTTGAAATAACAAACATTGGTCAAACACCCATCCCGAGCCTGGAAGCATTTTGGTTGAGTGGAAGTTGTCACTATTTTGAGAGTGAGGAGAGAAGCTGGCGCCACTTGTCACCTCCCAGGGCAGGCTCGTGCTGCCCAGGGGCTGGGGGCTTTGTCCCTGCAGTCAGCGCCACGCTTGGGACGGGCGGCGGGGCGGCAACAGAACAGGCGAAAGTTCAATTAGGTTTGATTTATTGTGCCACATGCTCAGCTTGTATGGCCACTGCCCCCGCCACGGGGCTGGCCCAGCGGGCTCAGCTGCCCCGGCCGGCCCCCTCTGAGGGCACACGCACCCAACAGATGGGGAGCCGTGCGGGCGCGGGGCCATTGTTCAGCCCCGCATTGTTCCTGTGTCAGGCAATCAACCCAAATCCATCACCCGCCGAGAGCGAGCCCGGCGACCATCCAGCCCGCCCTGAATAGCGCGGAGGCGGGCACGCAGGCGGGACGTGGAGCTCTCGAAAGGGTAAAACAAGATATAATGAAGAGCAACACTGAATAGTTGACCGAAAGAAGAAAAAGAAGAGGCTATAACAAATCCAACCCAACCTTTATTTCACCTTTGGGTGCTCAGAGTGCTGTGAGAAGAGGCACTTTTGGATCTGAGTCACTGTTTTCCTCATTATAGGTATGATCTAAAGATATTTTTCAATCAGAATCCAAGCACAGGGGGGGTTGGAAGGGACCTCTGGAGATCACTTTGTCCAACCCCCTGCTCCAGCAGGGTCACCCAGAGCAGAGTGCCCAGGATCGTGCCCAGGATCATGCCCAGGCAGGTTTGGAATCTCTCCAGAGAAGGAAAGAATCTCTCCACCACCTCCCTGGGCAGCCTGGGCCAGGCTCTGCCACCCTCACAGCACAGAATCCGTAGCTGGGCTTTTACATTAGAATGACTATTTGCTGTTTCATCATGTTGAGGGGTGGTGGGGATGTGGAAGCTGAAGCGAGACTCAAGAGCTGGTTCCCAGCTGCCATTTGCTGCAGTTAGAGGGGAGGTTTTGGGAAGGTGGGCTTTGAACACCTAGCTTCACAAGGCATGTGGTGTGCTGGGGATGAGTCACTCTGTGCAGAGAGCTGACAAAAGGCTCTCACATCACTTCCAGACAGAAAAATTTGGCCTCACGAGGGCCAATAGAATCTGTCTTATCTGGGAATTAATTTTCCCCTATTCACAAAAGGGATTATGCTGCTTCATTTTGCCCCAGATCTTACAAGGTACTCGAGTTCTACGAATACCCAGGGTTTTGCAGGAAATCTTAATGTGGCTTCAAGAGAAGGACTCTGCATATTGGGATACTTTTCCTCGAGCTTTTAGTGAGTTATTTTGGACAAATGTCTTGGTTTATCTATCTACCAAATAGGTGTGATAATACCTGCCAAGGAAGTGTCCTATAAACCTCAACCTGCTGAGGAACAGCAGGCAAGACATTTTAGACTGGAGGACGATACTCCCCACAATGTAAGGGGAAGGAGCCTAGGAACTGCTGCCAGAGCCACATCAGATATTTCACTGTGATGTCCCTCTGGCTCCCTACCAACCTAGCAAGAGTCCAGTCTGTGGTGGGAGAAGGAACCCAAACAGTTATTGATTCTGTGAAACATTTTTTGTTCTCCAACTTACATACAGTATCTAGAAACTAGGCTCAGATTTCTTCTCAATGCTAAACACAATAAGCTACTAATTTAATTCATGTGATGCCACTGCAGCCACGAGAAGACCCAAACCCCAGGTATATTTTTGACTGCAGAGGCCCAAGTCAACATGTGGAATCCAAATTCCTCACTATGGGCTGTGATACAGCTGTTTACCAAATACCTGAACTCCAAATGTTGTCAGTAAAGGATCAAAACATTTGCTGGTGCAAGAACTTGGCAATCAAAGGTGAATGGGGACAACTGAGGAGCAGAACTCAAGACACAAGAACAGACTTGTGGTGTCTGACAGAACCTCCACCTAACCTGACTGCAACTCTGGGACAGGGAAGGAATTTGATCTTGGGGAGTGTGGGCAGAAAGGAGGAAAAGGTGGGGAAGGGGTAGAGCCATATGCAAAGGCTGAAGGATAAACAACCAATGAAAGCAGCAGAAGGTTCAGTGAAGTTTGTCAGCATGTCAGAAAATCCCATAGGCTGTCGCAATGTCCCTCTGGGGAGTTGGTGAGGGTGCTCTGCCCATGGGCTGGATCTGCTCAGCCACACTGGGAAGAGCCGAGCGTAGCTGCTCCTCCTGTTTACCAACCGCGCCAGAGCTGGCAAGCTCCAGAGGAATAAAACGGGGGTGGGGTGGGGTGGGAAAAAGTGTACAAAACCGAATGAAAGCTTTGAGTCAGTCAAGGTAAGTATCCGAAACCTGTAGCTCGGCCTCG